CTTAACCAATGTGCCCATAAACATATAAAATGCACATGTGGCTCTTCAAACAATTTACTTGAAAAGAGATGGTGAAGGACACTGCATATTTATCAAAGGAAAAATCTACCATGATGACATTTCAATTTCTAACAGCTACTCCCAAAACACAAGGGCACCCTCATATGTAAAAGAAACACTACTGCAGCCTAAATCAAACATTGGCCCTCACACAGATAGTGGGAACTGTCAGATAACCCACTCTTAGCAATGGATAGACCTTCAAGACAAAAGTTAAACAGAGAAATGACCAAATTACTGCCTCAAAGGAGTATTGCTGCCATGCTTCAGATCCCAGCACCACAGACTAAGAAACAGGTTCAAGAGTTCCTCAGAGCAGCTGGATATTAGAGATTGTGGGAATGGTAAAGTGTCTAAACCCCAGCACAAAGGTGGGCTCTGAGCCCTTAATCTGGGCTATGTCTAAACAAAAGGCATTTAAGACTAAAAACAGTTCTGACATCTGCACCAGCCACAGAATTTCCAGATCGCTCCAAATATTTTCATCTCTTTTTAGATGATACAAAAGGGATTTTATCTCAAGCTTTGTGGCCATGGAAATGCCCTGCAACATATCTTTCTAAATGACTGGACAGATAGCCACAGGTTGGTCCACCTGTCTAAGAGCAATGGCACGTACTACTAATTTAATGAAAAAAACAAACAAACAAGTTAACTCTTGGTCAAGATATTACATTGACAGTAAACCATGACATGGTTGAGGCCTTCCTCTGAGGAGCATCAAAGCTGACCCAGCACCAGACCCTATACTGGCCCAACCAAGTTTAATTTGAGAAACCCACTGCCATCAGTTTGGTTATCCTCTTGCCTGAAGACACAGATACTCATCCATGACTGTCAGGAGATATAAAATGGAACTAGGTACCTTGGAGGATCAGAAGTTCCATTAATTGAAATAATCTGGACTATATAGGGAGAGATTTACCTCCTACAAAATTATGCTTGAGACCCCCCACCCTAGCACTGCTTCCCAGACTCAGAGGCAAAGAGTTGGCAGAACCTTTTTTCAAGGCACTCAAGTCCTCCATAATGGCTATTCATTGGAGAGACCCAGGTGACCTCTGAGTCTACCACCAGTTTCCCCTTGTTCTAGTGCAATGATACTGTCTAGGTAATGGACCCAGCCCCCACGGGGTCTCTAAGAGTTGTTTTCCAGCATAACCACTGGTACCTCCTGTTTTCCTGACCTCATCCCACTAGCATCAATATCCTATTGTGAACCCTTTGACCTGGGGTTTTTGTAAGTTTGTATATAAGGCTGCTCGACAATAAAGGTGACAGACATTGTCTCAGAAAAGGACCAGGAGTCTTGTCGTTCATCTAAATCTCCAGGCTTTCGCCAGATACTCAGTCTTAGTGGCAGCCAAGGGCAGCCACATCTAGGTCAAGTGAGGTAAGGACACTACACCTATCCTGGAAAGGAGCCTAAAAAGTGATTCTCTCTATTCCTGTGGCAGTGAAGATAGCTGGCATTATACCATGAACCCACTACACCCAGGTCAAAAAGCAGAAGCTACAGATGCTACCAAATGGAGTGTCTCTGGACATGCAATCCATTAAAATTAATGTCTCTTTGGGGTCCCCAAGCCCTTCTACTTCATATCCCTCAAATTCCTTCTGAGTCTTACATTTGGTATGAATACAGGGTCATGCTCCAACCTCCACAGGCCTTAGGCCCAAACCTAGGAACTAAGAAAGACAGACACAAAGAAGGTATTACCTAATTTAACTACAGACCAGCAATTCATATTCATTTTGACCTTTGCTCTCTAAAGCCTGATGGGGGATGTCCTTCTGTATATATTTCTCTTACTGGTTGATGAATAAAACACTATTTAGCCAATAAAGGCAAGAAGATATGTGGGAGTAGGAGATGAGGAAAATTCTGGGAAAGGTAGGCAGAGAGAGACTTCAAGGAGATGCCATGTAGCTGCCAAAGGAGTAACAGGTCCGGCATTCTCCAGTAAGCCAAGACCACGTGGAAATACATAGATTTATAGAAATGGGTTAATAATGAAGACAGAGCTAGCCAATAAGAAGCCCTAGTCATTGGCCAACAATTTAATAATTAATATATGTCTCTGTGAGCTTATTTTGGGGCTAAAGGGTGGCAAGACCTGGTGAGACAAAAGAAAAACTCTAGCAACAGAAGCCCACTTTAAATGTCTGGTTGTATTAGAGAAAGGAAAGATAAGGAGGGTTATATTTGATATAGAATACATACAGAGTCTACGATTCTATGCATGCCCTGTGGCTGCCCCCCTAGTTGCCTGAAACAAGGGAGTTTTCATTACAAAACTTAGGTTTGTGAAACTGAGGCCTGTAAATGTCCATTAAATAAGATTCTGGCCTTTGGGAAACAGGAAAAACCTTCAGATTCAGACTCTATGCCATGGGAAGGAGCCCTAGGGATGGAATTAATCATTCCTAGCCAGAAATTGGCCAGAATTACTGGTTATGCTTAAACACCTGGCCTCTGTCATAGTACATAGGGATAGGGACTAACCAGACTGTTAAAACTCACTGTGACTTGGAGAAGCCCAAATTAATATTCTATTTCATAAGTTAATTCATCTGGATAACATTACTGAGTCCCTGAGACTGCCTGGTGGGCATGCAGCCATGTTTTCATTAAATGTGCCTTTTCTGATGTTTTTCAAACTAAACAGACAGGTTGATCAGGACTAGATGGTATTAAATATTTCAATTTCTAAATTAAATGACCTTACAAAAATGGTCCTAACAAATTGAAAAGACTTAGACTTAACTTCTTATGTGATAAAGGAAAGTATGTATGGCTTTGGAAGAAATCTGATGTTCCAATGATCAGAAGTAATTGAAAAATTGTCCAGTTTGGTCCCCCTGGCTAACTACTCTGCTATCAGTACTGACTGTGACTATAATTCTCATTCTGATTGAATTAATGGTGGGAGGTGCTGCATGTGAAACTAAA